TTTTTTTTTTACATCTTACACTGGAAAACAGTGTCTCAGGCATCAGTAGGATAAGTAAGAACGTAAATAACTAATTAAGGGTTAATACATATAAAACCCTTTCACAGAGATCGGCGTCACAAGGTGCTTTACAAACATTTAGAACAGTATAAAATAAGGTAAAACAGTATAAAACAACATAGAATGGAGATAGTAAAACAGCTGAAACGCTGGATTCTTGAGACCCGCTCTTAAAAAGCATCCATAGAATCTCAGGCATAGCCTTGTCTTGCACCTGAGCAAATACTTTTGTGACATTCAACCCCCCCCAGCAAAAAAAAAAAAACAAGCTTACAATAACGTCTTAAAATTGAGGAAATTAGGAATAGATGAAGACACTTTTCTTTTCCCGCCATAAACATACTTTAAGAAATAAGTTTTGCTCAGACGATGTGATGAGAAAAGGCAGCAAGAACCTCCAAACCAGATCTGGGAAAACAGAATGAGGTCATTTAATGACCTTCAGTTTATGTTGGATTGCCAATCTGTAATCCAGCATAAACAGTTCTCGGTTATCTCAGTCTCCCATATCCTGTTTTGGTGTTTTCCAATCGTTTTGCTTACATTTTGACATCTAAACAAAGATTTAATTGACTTAAATAGTAAATAAAACATTTAATGACATAGTTTGATGCAGACAAACTTGAAAAAGTAAGATTACATTTGGTCTTTACACCAGGAGATCATTTCTGTTCAGTGTGATGTCATGATTGAGGCCTACCAACAGTGATATGTCTGAATTTTAATTTCACATGGTTTATCTTCTAAGTTGTCAATAAAATATATTATCTAGTAACAGCATCACAGCAAAATCTGCATCCTTTATAATCCCGTCGTTTCTTCAGTGCTTTCCTGTTTCTCTCGTTCCCTCATCTTCTTGGTGTTTCTCTCCACTTTTTAATGTATTGCTTCATTCTCATATGCAGCTGAATCTGAAACAAACCACCAGTCAGATTAACAACAGCTAATTTAATGCTGCAAACAACCGGCTACATCACTGAGTGTGAAGAACTTTTTTACTACCTGTAATGTCCTTCAGAGCTTTAGACTGTAAGCAGTGGAACATGAGGAAGGCTGTGATGAGGATCAGGAGGGGCAGGCATCTCAGAGCAAAGATGACATCTTTGTTCAAGAGAACATCGGAAATCTCTCCTCACAAACAGAAGATCAGAAATGCAGAAGTAAGTTTACTAGTCAGGTTATTGTGACAAATAGTCTCACTGCAGGTTGTTGGTCAATTTCCCTTTTATCATTTTCTTCAAACTGCACTTAATCAGTTACAAAAAAGACCCATCTGTTGTTAGACGTTTCTTGCGGAACATTCTTCACTTCCCACCTTACTGGGGGAATTTTTTTTACCCACTGAATTGATTATTTAAAGTTATTTTTCAGTAAATCTTTATGAGCTGTAATAAAATATAGTTACAAATCACAGATAAATGTGTCTCAGCAGAAGGTCGCTTAGTTTTTCTGATTTGTTACACATTATGACATGTAATGCTTAGTCGCCCCAGCCAATTGGTTTGGATCTGATCAACAGTCAATTATATAGAATAATATTTTAACCTATCATTTTAACATTTGAAAATGAAGATGGCAAAGGTTATGCCAGTCCATAAAAGTGGTGACAAGCAAATATTAACAAATGATAGGCCGATATCACTGCTACCACAATTTTCAAAAATTCTGGAAAAATTATTTATAAAAAAGCTGGACTCTTTTCTCAATAAAAATAATTTATTGAATAAGCACCAGTACGGCTTCAGGAACAACTGCTCTACAACTTTAGCTGTGATGGAGTTTGTGGAGCACATTGCTGCAGCAGTTGACCAGAGACTTAATAACGTAAGTGTGTTTATTGACTTATGTAAAGCATTTGATACCATTTATCATGCACGACTGTATGGCCTACGGGGGGGTTACATACCAGTGGTTAAAAAGTTATCTAAGTAATAGATTACAATATGTACAAATCAATAACACAAAGTCACAAACAGGCATAGTAAAATTTGGTCTTCCTCAAGGCTCAGTCCTAGGATCTAAATTATTTATACTTTATTTAAATGATATTTTTGCAGTATCCAGTAATTTAAAGTTTATAATGTTTGCTGATGATACAAATCTATTTTTTTCTGGGGAAAAAATTGGATGAATCAATAAAAGCGATAGAAAAAGAGTTAGCTGATTTGAAAACATGGTTTGATTATAATAAGTTGCCGTTAAAAGAAGGGAAAACTAAATTTATGGTATTCTCTGGTAATCGGGTCTATAACGATGTAAAGTTATGTATAAATGGAGTTGAAATTGAAAGAGTTTATGAGACAAAATTTTTAGGGATTATTATAGACAACAAACTTAGTTGGAAGCCTCACATAGAATATATTAGAAATAAAATTGCAAAAACTATTGGAATATTATTTAAAATAAAAGATTTAAAAGATATTAAAGGTTGCATATTATATATTCCTCTTTGGATATGCCTTATTTGTCTTATTGTTCAGAAGTATGGGAAAAAGCAAATAAAACAATTATTGATAAGTTAGTTAAGTTACAACAAAAAGCTCTAAGGCTTATAAATAAGGTGGGATACTGTGAACCAACTGATAAAGTCTTCATTCAAAGCAACACATTAAAATTCAAAGACATTGTTTATATATAAATACTGGAAATAATGCATAAAGCAGTGAACAAAAGTGTTCCTTCTGGTATTCAGAAATTATTTAAGTTAAGAGAGAATAAATATAATTTGCGAGGTTTGTTTATATTTGAATGTGCAAAAGAGAAGAGCCAGAAAAAGTCTAGATGAGTTTCAGTTATTGGTGATTGATGATTTAAAGTTATGTCCTTTCTTGGTGAATTTTAAAAGGGCTATAAAATGTAAAATGATAAAATCCTATGTTATGTAGATTTGAATATTTATATACGCAGTAAAGAACCTGGTAGGTTGTAAAGGTTGTAAGTATAAAACAGGGTAGGCAATAATAAGCTTTGCTTCAGCCTATTCCTTTTTTTTGGTAAATTGTTGGTTTTGTTTTGTTTTAATATTATTGTTTTGTTGTTTAATGTTGGATTATATGCTAAAAAATAAAGTGAAAGTGAAGTGAACACAAAAATAAACAGCATACACAAGGAGGGGGTGGGGGGTGGGGCTGCGGCAAACTTCAATTCAGTTTATTTAGAAAGCGCCAATTCACAAAACGTCATATCACGGCACAAACAGAACCTTAACAAAAACTACTGATGCTAAATAGATAATAAATCTTCAACTACCATCTCTAATATCTTTTTATCTATATATCCAACATTAGATGACACCAGTAGTAAAGCACATGTAGATTTTTTTGTGTAAAATCTTGAGGCATCAAGAGAAGGTTGATCCCAGATGGGATTATCCATGTAGAAAAGTTATCAGTTTCATTGAAAAATTGCAAGGTTAAAAATGTTTAGGAGGGGAGGACAACTTTCAAACACGACTAGGTTGCACCACTTCCACAGGGGAATTGTTTAACACTCCAACTAATGTTAAGTATTTTTAGAGGCCTGTGAAAGGATATCTTATTCTTCCTTTTGACACCCAGCATGCATTCAGCGACAGGGGAGTGAAATCTTTTATTCAAGAAGTACAAAATAATTTGGGAAACCTAATAGATCTAAAACAGAGCAAGTTTTGTCCGATTTAATGTCAGACTGTAAGGAAAAGTTTAGTTATCAGGATCCTCTCCTGTGGAACCAATTACATTGGTTGATAGTCCGTGAGGCAGACTTGGACAGATTTATTTTGTCATTTTGTATACACGAGTGTATACAAAGGAATTTCATCTAAAACAGGCAGACAACCTATCTACTTTTAAGGCAAGACCTAAAACTGTAAATTTTTGACAAAGCTTACAGTTAGAGTGGCTCAGGTTTCCCCAAGCAATCTCTATAATTATGCTGCTATAGGCTTAAACTGCTGGAGGACATAGGGACCACTTTTCGTCATTCTGTTAGATTCTATTCTCCCATTCTGCAGTAATCAATAGTTCAACCCCTAACTGTATGTGCTCTTTCATCCTCTGACATGGGAGCTGGCTCAGCTCTTCTAACTAGTTGTGTGTTTCCTGGACGAGGCCGCCTGTGGAGCTGGTTGACATTTGCTTTTTCTATCTCTGCTTCTTTTTCTATGTCTGCTTCTGTCTCCTTGAACCCCAGTCGGCCTCAGCAGATGGCCGCTCACACTGAGCTTGG